TAGGGCGGCTAGGAGCTGGAACCAACTTCCAAGGGAAGTGGTGCTGGCCCCTACCCTGGGGGTCTTTAAGAAGAGGCTGGATGCCTACCTGGCTGGACTCATTTGAGTCCCGTTTTTGTTTTGGGGTTTTGTTGTTCTCCCGCCCTGGCGGGGGGGTCGGGCTAGAAGATCTACTAGGTCCCTTCCGACCCTAAATCTATGAAACTATGAACCTTAGGGTGCACCTCATTTTCAGAAAATGGAGCATGCATTTAAACAAACAAAAGTTTTTTTACCTTCAGATTTTGGTTTAATATTCTCAGTTTTTAAGCAAAACTGAAATTGCAAAGTGGGTCCTAATGAAATTTCCCACTTCAGCTTAAACTGAAACTTTTTCTATTGTTTTCTGTTACACGCTTTGTGAAGCAGATTAGAACTAGAAGGAATCTAAGAAGGCAACTAAAAATTAAGCTTTTATCCATTTCTCTTTTCTCCATATCATTCTCGTCAAAACTTAAGTCTACCTCTCTCCAAAACACACCCATCCTGAAGCAAGAGATGCTAAAGAAACTGGAGCAGGCCTGAAGATGCACTCTATATCTTTAAGTGTTCAAAACTGAAATATCATGAAAGGCAGTGTAACAGGGGCTGCAGCCCAGCTGCAGGCAGCAAACAAGTAATTGCACGTCTTTTCTTAGGATGACTGGGCCAGCTGATAAGGATAACTGGCTGACCAGATGAAGAGAGCTGGGAGAAACCAGACAGAGAGAGGAAAGAAGGAAAGCTGCATGTCTAGTGGCTGCAACACCAAGCCAAGGCCTTTCTCGGGTCTGGGAAAAGGCAGCAGAAGCTAAAGAGAGAGACCAAGCCAGAATATTCTTTCAGGGTCTGGGGAAAGACGAGAGAGCGAGAGCGACAGACAGACAAGACAGACAGAGGAGAGAAAGAAGTCTGAGTGGCTAGCGACTGCAACACCAAACCAGGGCCTCTCTCAGGGTCTGGGAAAAGACTGCAGGGTGCAAGTTAACCCTGTACTGTTTGTGTATTCATCTGGTTGTTGATTAATGATTTATGCTGTGTTTTTTGGGGCAAGTTCAAGCAGAGGAAGAAAGACTGTTATATGAACTGTCAACCTGCTACATGTGGTGGAGAATGCAGGCAGTTTAAAGTGAACTCCAGCATGGAGACAGGAGCCCTGATGAGGGACTGCAACAACAGCAACAGCACCACCCCTAAAAAGAAAAACCAGGGTGGTGCTGATAAAGCAAGGGAAGCACTAAGTCCACTTTTATTAGAGAGCCTTGACCCAAGGTTGGGGGAACTGGAGGCTAGGCACAAACAGAAGATAGAAGGGCTGAGAAAAAGAGCTGACAAGACTCACCAGCCAACATGAAGGCTCTTGAGATGAAACATGAGTTGTTAGAGCAGGAGAAAGCTGAGCACCACCTCCGTGAGGAGAAAGAGGTGGAGATGGCAGCCTTAAAGAGCCAACTCCTGCAGTCAAGTGGGAAGAGGCTAAAATGAGGCCACTCGCACCTCCATGACAACACCAAGAAACCCAGAGCCCTCCCAAGAGGGGTAAAGCAGAGACTAGGTGGGTAGGGGACCAAGACCCAAGGCAGGACCTGGAAAAGGAAGATCCTCAATAAAATCACACCCATGGGGGAGGTCACACAATGACCTATAAACTGTGATAGGGTTGTCCACACAGCCAGTCCAGCTACAGGAGATAACTAAAGATGACATGGGTGTCGTGGAGGCCCTACCTCTGATGCAGCCTCTAAGATGGGTGGCTGGGAGAAGAGGGGGCAATGATAGTGTCCATCTCAGCCATGAATGGGGAAGAGGCCGGGACACCCAGAATGGGAGTTGTGCCGGGACACAGGAAAGAAGCCTAAAGGAAGACAACAAAGGTCAACAACAAAGGTCTTGAAGGGAAAAACAGGTCAGTCTGCCAAAGACCATACTCCCCTATATTAGAGGGCCAGGACTTGGACCAGGAGAGAAGTGGAGCTCACCAGAAAGTGGCCAACCCAAACCCAGGGACACCAGGTATGCCATTCAACAAGGCATATGGTGGCACTCTTAATGGTGGAGTTTATGGGTAATGGACAATACAATTATCCATGGACTAAGGATGATGTGCCTCCATTCTGGGGAGCGATCCCCCTAGGAGTAAGAGGAAGGACAGTGCTCCCAGGATGTAGGCCAAGAGATCGTGTGAAGGGAAAGAGAAAGACACATGGGAGTGAGAAGACTGCAAGGCACAGAAGAGGTCTGGTGGGTCGCTAAGGGGACAGGTAGACCCAAGCAGGAACCTCCAATAGAGACTGCAGATGGAATGCCCACTAAGCCCAATAATGGATGCGAGCCAGGAGGTAAGGGCAGAGGAGTTCCTTAGGATGGTGGAGAAGAAGGCTCCAGGCATAACCTGCCTCAGTGTCCCCTGGAACAGGAACCAGGGGCCAGATAAGATAATGGTGACAACATGGGCACCAGCCACCCAGAAAGATAACAGTAACACCAAGGCAGGTAAAAAGGATGTAGGGGATGACAGCCTAAGCTTTAGTATGTTTGTAAG